TGGAGGAACAGCCACTGTCGCTTTGAGGAGGAACAGCCCACGTCACTCGAGGAAGCCACGTCGCTTGTACGCGAACCACGCCACGCGCTCGAGGAACCAGCACGTCGCTCGAGGCAACAGCCACTGTCACCTCGAGGAGGAACGCCCGTCGTCGAGGGAACAGCCATGACTCGCTCTGATGGCAACAGCCACGTCGCTTCGAGGAGACAGCCACGTCGCTCTTGCCGAGGAACAGCCACGTCGCTTCAGGAACAGCCACGCCTGCTCGAGGAGCGACAGCCACGTCTCGCTCGAGGAGGATACAACCACGTCCGTCTCCGAGGAGGAACAGCCTACCGTCGCTCGAGAGGAACAGCCTACGTCGCTCGAGGGAACAGCCACGCCGCTATCGAGGAGGAACATGCCACGTCTCTCGAAGGCAGGCACAGCCACCGTCGCTCGAGAGGAACAGGCCACGTCTCGCTACCTCGGAAGGAACAGCCACGCCTCTCGCTTCGAGGAAATCAGCCACTCCGATTCGCTCGACCGGAACAGCCACGTCCGCTCGAGGAAAGCCCGTGCTCGAGAAACAGCTTGCGCTCGCTCGAGGAACAGCCTCACGTCGCTCGAGGACAGCCACGTCGCTCGAGCGAGGAACAGCCACGGTCGCTTCGAGAACAGCCGCGTCCGCCCGAGGAACAGCCCTCGTCCGCAGGAACAGCCCACGTCGCTCGAGGAACAGCCACGTTAGTCGTCCGGAGGAACAAGCCACGTCGCTCGATGGAAATCAGCCACGTTCGCTCCGAGGGAACATCGCCACGGTCCGCCCGAGGAACAGCCCGTTTCGTCTCGAGGAACAGCCTCTCGTACGTTCCGCCGAGAATCCATGCTGCTCCGTCTCTCTCAGATCTCGTATACTCACGCCTAGCTCGTGTCTCGCAGGATCATGCCACGTCTGCTCCTCTTTCGGAGCGCATCTCTCCCCCATCAATCTACCTGCCCTCCTCTCCCATGCTCGCTCGATCGGTACAACTCATCGCCCTACGGTTCCGCCATTCGCAGTAAACAGCCACGTTGTGCTCCTCGAAGCCGTATAATCATCCAGCCTGCTTACTGGATCGCTCTCCGAGACGCTTACCGATGCCTGCATCTGCTCGTGCTCAGATTCAGCCACCGTCTTGCTTTCGACACTGGACAAGCGGCGACGGTAGCTCGGTCAGGGACGTTGCTTACTCCACTCGCTCGCTCTCGAAGCAAGGCGGAGACGGTTCCCGCGCTAGTGTACGTGCACAGTGGTCGTGTCGGGCGCCTTGTCTTGGGGGCGTGATAGGGGAGTATCAGTCTGACGTCTGGTTCTCTCGTTATTGGTAACGATGGCCTACGTGGTTGTGGCTGTTCGAGCCGTTACACGCCACCTGCTCCCGAGCACACAGCCTCACTTGTTTTTGTCTTTCGTAATGCTATTTGCCGAACGTCGATCAAAGACCAGCGACGTGTTTTTTTTTCTCTCCGAGGAACATTTTGCCACGTGTGTCTTCTGAGGAACAGCTTCGCTCTCGTTTTAGGATATAGCCCACGTTCCGCTCTGAGTCGAAACGCCAACGTCGCCTCGAGGAACCCCAGTCGCTGGAAGGGAACAGCCACGTCGCTCGAGACAGCCGCGTCGCCCGAGGAACAAGCCACGGTCGCAGAGGAAACAGCCACGTCGCTCAGGAACAGCCACGTCGCTCGAGAACAGCCACAGTCGCCCGAGGAACAGTTCACGTCGCTCGAGAACAGCCGCGTCGATCGAGGAACAGCCACGTCTTCGAGGAACAGCCCCGTCGTCGAGGAACAGCCCGTCGCTCGAGAAAACCCGTCGCTGCGAGGAACAGGCCGCGTCGCCCGAGGCAACACGCCACGTCGCTCGAGGCAACAGCCACGGTCGCTCGAGGAACAGCCCGGTCGCTCGAGAACAGCCACGTCGCTCGAGGAACAGCCACGTCGCTCGAGGGAACAGCCGACGGTCGCTCGAGGACAGCTGCGTCGCTTTCGAGGAATCAAGCCACGTCCGCTCGGGAACAGCCACGTCGCTCGAGGAACACCCAACGTCGCTCGAGAACAAGCCACGCGCCCCGAGGAACAGTCACGTCGCTCGAGGAACAGCCGCGTCGTCGAGGAACAGCCACGTCGTTCGAGGAACAGCCACGTCGCTCGAGGAACAGCCACGTCGCTCGAGGAACAGCCACGTCGCTCGAGGAATCACCAAATCACGTCGCTCGAGGAAACAGCCCCGTCGCTCGCAGGAACAGCCAGTCGCTCGAGCAACAGCCACGTCCGTTCGAGGAACACCCAACGTCGCTCGAGGGACGTCACGTCGCTCGAGGAACAGCCGCGTCGCTCGAGGAACACCCACGTCGTTCGAGGAACACCCACGTCCCCCGCCGAGGAACAGCCACGTCGCTCGAGGAACAGCCACGGTCGCTCGAAGGAACCCACGTCGCTCGAGGAAAGCCACGTCGCCGGAGGAACAACCCACGTCGCTTCGAGGAACAGCCACGTCGCTCGAGGAACCCCACGTCGCTCGAGAACACCCACGGTCGCTCGAGGACAGCCACGTCGCCTCGAGGAACAGCCCACGTCGCTCGAGGAACAGCCACGTCCGTTCGAGGAACAGCCCACGTCGCTGCGAGGAACAGCCACGTATGCTCGAGGAACAGTCACTGCCTCGAGGAACAGCCACGTCGCTTCGAGGAGGAACAACCACCGTCGCTCGACGAGGAACAGCCACGTCGCTTCGAGGAACAGCCATGTCGCTCCGAGGAGGAACAGCCCGTCGCTCGAGGAGGAAACAGCCCCACGTCGCTCGAGGAGCAGCCACATCGCCCGAGTGAACAGCCACGTCCTCCGAAGGAAACAGTCCAGTCGGCCCGAGTAGGAACAGCCACGGTCGCTCGGCAGGGGAACAGCCACGTCCCTCGAGGAGGAAAACAGCTACGTCCTCGAGGAACTACCACGTCGTCGAAGGGGAACAGTCACGTCGCTCGAGGAGGAACAGCCACGTCGCTCGAGGAACAGCCACGGTCGGCTCGGAACAGCCACGTCGCTCGAGGACAGCCACGGTCGCTCGAGGAACGGAACCAGCACGTCGCCCGAGGAGGAAACAGCCCAGTCGCCTCGAGGAGGAACACGCCACGTCGACTTCGAGGAACAGACCACGTGATCGAGGAACAGCCACGTCGCTCGAGGAACAGCCACGTCGCCGCTCGGAGGAGGAGACCAGCCACTCGCTCGAGGAGAACAGCCAAACCGTCGCCTCGAGGAGGAACAGCCACGTTCGCTCGAGGGAACAGCCACGCTCGCTTCGAGGAACAGCCACGTCGCCGAGGAACAGTCACAGTCCGCTCGGAGGAACAAGCCACGTCGCCCCGAGGACAGCCACGGTCGGCTCGAGAACAGCCACGCGCCCGAGGAACAGCCACGTAGCTCGAGGAACAGCACGTGCTCGCAGGAACAGCCACGCGCTCGAGGAACAGTTCACGTCGCTCGACGGAACAGCCACGTCGCCGAGGAACAGCCACGTCCGCTCGAGAACAAGCCGTCGCTCGAGGAACAGCCACGGTCGCTTCGAGGAACAGCTGCAACACTCGGGAACAGGCCACCGTCGCTCCGAGGAAACTACGCCACGTCCGCTCGACGGAACAAGCTGGCTGGCACCGAGAATATGTCCCGTCGCTCATTTCCTCTGGGAAATGGAAGAAGGGGGGGGGGGGATGATCAGCTAATGGGCGTGTGGCGTTTATACTTCCGATTGAAATTGGGGTTTTGGGTTTGGAGGGATCAAGTGGGGGGGGGGTGAGGTAGGGTGGTGGTGGGGGGTGTTGGCTGGATAATAAGGGGGAGGGGGCGGAAGGGGTGAAATGAGTGAGAAGAAGGAAGATTAAATAGGAAAGGGAATGGGGAAGGGAAGGTGGATAATGGGGGGGGGGTGAATGGGGTGTTGGGGTGAATCAGGAAAGAGGGACGGGGCTGGGGAGTGGAAAGAGTGCAGGAATAGGTAGGGGGGGGGGGAGGAGGATAGAAAGGGTGAATGAGGAGTGGGGAAGGGAAATGGACGGTAGAGAATAGAGGGGCTACGTCGCTCGAGGAACACCCACGTGCTCCGAGGAAAGCCACGTCGCCGAGGATACAGCCCGGTCGTTCGAGGAACACCCACGTCGTCAGAGGAACGTCACGTCGCTCGAGGAACACCGCGTCGCCTGAGGGACAGCCACCGTCGTTCGAGGAACACCCCTGTCGCTCGAGGAAACAGCCACGTCGCCTCGAGGAACGCACGTCGCTCGAGGAAACACCACGTCGCTCGGAGGAACAGCCACGTCGCTCGAAGGACCAGCACGTCCTCGAAGGAACAGCCACGTCGCTCGAGGCAACAGCCAACGTCGCTGAAGGAACAGCCACGTTCGCTCGAGGAACAGCCACGTCGCTCGAGGAAACACCACGTCGCTTCGAGGACAGCCACGTCGTTCGAGGACAGCCCACGTCGCCTCGAGGAAACGCCACGTTCGCTCGAGGAACAGGTCACGGTCGCTCGAGGAACAGCGCACGTCGCCTCGAGGAGGAACAACACTCGCTCGAGAGAACAGCACGTCCCGCTCGAGGAACAGCCACGTCGCTCGAGGAGGAACAGCCACGTCGCTCGAGGAGGAACAGCCACGTCGCCTCGACGGAGCAGCCAGTCCGACCGAGGAACAGCCACGTCGTGAGGAACAGTCCGTGGTCGCCCGAGGAGGAACAGCCACGGGAGTCGCTCGAGGAGAAACAGCCACATCCTCGAGAGAAGGAACGTACGGTCCGCTCGAGGAACAGCCACGTCGCTCGAGAACAGCAGTCGCTCGAGGAAAGGAACAGCCACGTCGCTCGAGGAAACAGCCACGGTCGCTGATCGCTCGACGGACAGCACGCGTCGCTCGAGGAACAGCCACGTCGCTCGAGGAGACCAGCCGTCGCCCGAGAAGGAACAGCCACGTCGGCGTCGAGGCGGAACAGCCCACGCTGCTCGAGGAAAGCCACGTTCGCTCGAGGAACATCCACGTCGCTCGAGGAACAGCCACGCCGCTCCGAGGGAGGAACAAGCCACGTCGCTTCGAGGAGGAACAGCCACGTCCGCTCGAGGCAGGAACAGCCACGTCGCTCGAGGGAACAGCCACGTCGCTTCGAGGAACCGCCACGGTCCGCCCAGAGGAAACATCACGTCGCTCGAGGACACCACGTCGCCCGAGGAACAGCCACGTCGCTCCGAGGAAAACAGCACGTCGCCCGCAGGAAACAGCCACGTCGCTCGAGGAACGCCACGTCGCTTCGAGGAAACAGCACACGGTCGCTCGAGAACAGCCATCGTTGCTCGAATCGGAACAGCCACGTGCTTCGAGGGAACAAGTCACCGTCCTGCCAGGAACAGCCACGTCCGCCCGAGGAAACAGCCACGTCGCTCGAGGAACAGCCACGTCGCCCGAGGAACAGCCACGTCGCTCGAGAACGCCACGTCGCTCGACGGAACAGCCACGTCGCTCGAGGAACAGTCCACGTCCGCTCGAGGAAAGCCACGTCGCTCGAGGAAAACCCCCAAAGCCACGTCGGCTCGAGGAACAGCCACGTCGCTCGAGGAAACAGCCCACGTCGTCGCCTCGAGGAACAGCTGCAACACCGAGGCACAGCCATACTCGCTCGAGGAACACGCCACGTCGCTCGAGGAACAGCTGCTGCAGCTCGAGGAATATTGTCCCGTCGCTCATCTCTTGGGGGAATGGAAGAGGGGGGGGGGGGGTGACTCAGCTTAATGGGCGGTGCGTTTTTAACCTTCCGATATGAATATGGGGTTTGGTTGAGGATGCAAGTGGGGGGGGTGAGTAGGTGGTGTGGGGGTGTTGGCTGGATAATAAGGGGGAGGGGCGGAAGGTGGTGATATGAAGTGAGAAGAGGGAAGATTAATAGGAAAAGGGAATGGGGTAAGGGAAAAGGGTGGATAATGGGGGGGGGGGTATGGGGTGTGGGGGTGAAGTAGGAAAGGGGACGGGGGAATGGGATGGAGAAGGAGTGCAAGGAATAGGTAGGGGGGGGGGGAGGAGGCAAAGAAGGGTGAAAATGAGGAAGTGGGGAAGGGAATGGACGTAGAGAATAGAGGGGCTACGTCGCTCGAGGAACAGCCACGTCGCTTCGGGAACACCACGTAGGTCGCTCGAGGAACAGCCACGTCGCTCGATTGGAACAGCCAACGTCGTTCGAGGAACAGCCACGTCGCTCGACGGAACGCCCACGTCGCTCGAGGAACAGCCACGTCGTTCGAGGACACCACGTTCGGCTCGAGGAACAGTCACGTCGCTCGAGGACAGCCCCGCTTCGCTTCGAGGAATCAAGCACGTCGTTCGAGGAACACCCAACGTCGCTCGAGGAACAGCCACGTCGTGAGTAGGAAAGCCACGTCGGCGGAGGAACGCCACGTTTCGCTCGAGGACCAGCCCACGCTCGCTCGAGGAAACAGGCCCGCGTCGCTCGAGGAAGCGACCACGTCGCCCGAGGAACACACGTCGCTCGAGGACAGCCACGTCGCTCGAGGAACAGAGCCACGTCGCTCGGAACGTCACGGTCGCTCGAGGAACAGCCACGCCTTCGCTTCGAGGAACAGCCACGTCGCTCGAGGAACAGCCACGTCGCTCGAGGAACAGCCAGCGTCGCTCGAGGAACAGCCACGTCGCTCGAGGAACAGCCACACGTCGCTCGAGGAACAGCCGCGTCCCGCTCGAGAACAGCCACGTCGCCCGAGGAACAGCGCCGTTCGCTCGAGGAACAGCCACGTCGCTCGAGGAACAGCCACGTCGCTCGAGAACAGTTCACGTCGCTCGAGGAACAGCTCACGTCGCTCGAGAACAGCACGGTCGCTCGAGAACAGCCACTGCTCGAGACCACCACGAGATAACTCGCTCGAGGAACAGCTGCAACACTCGAGGAACAGCCCACGTCGCTCCGAGGATGGAGAAATCTGCGTATTCGTAAACCTTGAATTTGAATTGGGGTTTTGGTTGGAAGGATCAAGTGGGGGGGGGTGAGTAGGGTGGTGTGGGGGGGTGTTGGCTGGATAATAGGGGGAGGGGCGGAAGGGGTGAATGAAGTGAGAAGGGAAGATTAATAGGAAAAGGGAATGTGGGGAAGGGAAGGTGGATAATGGGGGGGGGTGATGGGGTGTGGGGTGAAAGTAGGAAGGGGACGGGGAATGGGGGAGTGAGAAGGAGTGAGGAATAGGTAGTGGGGGGAGAGATAGAGGGTGAATGAGGAGTGGGGAGGGAATGGACGTAGAGAATAGAGGGGCTAATGGGGGTATTAGAGAGTGAATGGGCGAGAGAGGAGGTAAATGTGATGAAGGGAGGGAGTGAATGGGGCGAAGGAGGGAAATGAAGTAAGAAGAGAGGGAGAGAGAGAGAAAGAGAGAGAGAGAGAGAGAGAGGAGAGAGAGAGAGAGAGAGAGAGAGAGAGAGAGAGAGAGAGAGA